CCCCCCCCCCCCCCCCAAGAGCCAGTCTAGTTATATAAGCTACAAGAAATATCCCTTGTCCTGCCGGGGATTGAGCACTGGTCAACCAGTTCCTTGTCATACATTATATTTACCAAGGAACCACAGTACCTGGCATTTATAAGAAAATAACTTAAATATTTTCTGCCACATTGAAATTACACAGGAATGAGCAAAGGACAATTTTCTTTCAATATCGCAAGTCATGCCACAAAAAAAAACTAACACATTGCGAGCCTCAGAAACAATGACACATGAAAACAGAAAATTAGTTACATACAGAATGGCAGACAAAATTACAGCATATGGAGAATAAAGTTGCATCAGTGTCAAGTTCATGATGTCTGACATGGACTGCACTGGAGTCCATACTGAGAAAACTGGCCATTTTAGCATCGATCAAGCCACAGTAGTACCACTATACATTACATGGCATCACACAAGAACATACCTCATTACTCACCACTGCATCTTCATCCCAGTGAGACAGTAAAACTTTTGACAGCACAGTTATTACCATTAACATTTGAAAACCATAAAATACAAAAAAGGCATGTAAAACAATACAAACAGAATGTTGTAAACATTGGGAATGCCATTACTATATTCGTAATGTAACATATTTACCACTTATGTTTTCTATAATTACTCTATTCTCATCAAGTTTCATAGTTTTAAGTTATCTCATGGATGAAAAACATTCAGGAACTTCACACAGCTCGAATTTGGAGAAATAAACATCACAAGCCACATGCAAGAAGTAAAGTCAAAATTGATCTGTAGTAGCATGAAGTAGAGATCTGAGCATTTATTACAATAAGTAGGAATTACAATTTTCCACTCAACCACTGCGTAAAGAGCATTTGTATACTTTGCTGCACAGATCTTTTTTTCTTTTTTGACTTCACACCTATCGACATTTGTACCACTGCAATACTGTTAACAATAACCTATTTTTAACATACAACCTACCATACTTCAAACAATAAGGTACCATAAACTAAATATAATTCTTCAAATCACAGCATTTGTTGAATGCACCTGTCACACGCCAAAGTAATAAAGTGAAATGTCATTACAAGCTTCCAAGAGCCATGAAAAATGTATTAATGAAATATGTAAAAATAAAAGCAGGGTGTGCATGGAACTACAAAATTTTTAAGCATTTCACAGAAATGAGCAACTGCACAAAACACTGCCCTCGTTATAATGAAGAATTGTGACAACATAATCAATGATCAAATCAAAGAGAATGAGATGGGCAAGGCAAGTAGCACGTTAGTAAATAGAAAAGCACACATAAGTTTTGTTGCAGACCCTACGAGTCGGTGGAATTGTAGTATGAAGACATTGAGCAAATAAAGTGTGGAATGGATTTATCTGGCTCAGGATAAGGTCCAGTGGTAACAAACCTCATGTTCAATAAGGACAGAATCCTAGCCAGCCAAGCAACTATCAGCTCTTCATGCTTGCTAAAGAACGAAGGCACTTAGTCTAAACTTTCATCAATCATCAGGCAAGAATATGTGTACTGTTTATCATGATCCACTGCCTTTCTTTTGTAATAAATGCACTGTTTTATACCAGGGCTCTCCAAAGTACAGCCCATGGGTCAGATGATGGTTGGAAATATTTTACTTTAACCAATTCATTTTCCACTTTTTAATACAAAAATAGCCAATATTTGTATAATGAATGCACATATTAAAAAATTAAACCTTGATAATCCGAACCGTAAGCACAGAATTTACTGACCAAGTGGCCTACTAGAGACAAAGTTTGGAGACTCCTGCTCTACGCCATTAAAGTGCGAAGAAATAAATTACTCGTATGTTACAAAATTCTACAGCTGAATTTCTACTGTTGACAATTTTTGTTACACACTTTTAAAACCATTTTATTTGGAAATGAAAAATACTCTGCACACATAAAATTTTAACTCAATATTTGTTTTATCAACATTTCACTGTGGTACTAACATTATTCAAATACAAACACATTCATATGTGGAGTCTGTATCATACAAACCTGTGAGGGTGATAGACAGTGCATTATGAGTTTTCATATTCATTAATGGAAACATTAATGTAATTGAAAAGGACACATCTTGTCAACATGACAAATTTTATGTCATTTTTCCACTTACAAAAACTAATTTCCAGGAAACATGCTACAATAATCCAGTTTAATCTACTTTAAATGTGGTTCAATTTGTACTTTCCTGCAACTTCAGTAATAGATAAATACAACAGAATGAAGTAAGACACAAACAACAGATTTAGTTCCTTCCTCAATATCAAGAAGGAATTTGCTCTGACTTTTACTACATTTCTAGCAATTAAAATGCAGAACCATAATGTAGTTTACTCGCTCGGTGTACTGAAAAAATTAAAACCTCTTTGAAAACATGGAATCCTTTAGTGCCCTCAGGTATTAATCAGAAGAGACACACAACATAAAAACTTTTTCAGCCATACTTTGAAATAACAAAATATCTGTTTTACATATTAAAGAAATTTCCAAGTTAATGGTGATAATCGAATATGCAACTTTTTTTAAACTGCAATGTATCACATTTACTCGCACAATTTCACCTCTTAATTCAGGTAGTTTCGCACAAATGTTTGTAAATAAGCAAAACTCATTCACAGTGTTACTCTACAAACAACACTGTTCAACTTGACTCGAGCAAGAACCAGCTGTTCCAATGTCACGTCTTCACTACGTGGCAGTTGGCGACCAACTCTTACACACACACACACACGTGTCTGACAACACAACGAACAAGCAGCAGAGTATCCAAGCACATTAACGCACGCTCAGTTACCTGTACTGTACCTCCAGTGCAAAGAACTCATATCTAGTTGTTTTCATACTTCCATGGAGAAATTATGTCATGGAAAGAATAATCATCTTTTATCCACAATATAATGAAAAAAATTAAACATGGGAGAAATCATGCAAGTATATATGAAATCAACTTTAATAATTGATATATCAATATCTGAGGGTCATATTATATTATTACCTGTCAACTGATTACTATGCAGTGAAATCTTCAATATACAGAGAACACGGAATCAAAACAATGTATAACGGTGTCTCTAAAAATGTATACACACTTTAATAAAAACCCAAGACAAAGGTAATGACTGGAGGATGTGGCAGAAAATACATCATGCAGAGCTTTGTAATTTGTATCCTTCACTAAATAATAATAATAGATCAAACCAAGAACGATAACATGGATGGGACATGAGAAATCCATATAAGTTTTGGTTGAAAAACCTCAAGGAAGCAGACCACTTGAAAGACATACGCAGAGATAGGCGGATATTACTAAATATTGCCATCACACCCCCGATCTTTATTTGTGGGGTTACCAGAAGTACATAGTATATGACTGAAAACTAGCACCATTCCATGAAATTGAGCAGTCATGTACAGCCATCCCAGCAGAAATGTTTGTTACTCGGCTCTTTGCTGCTGTCAGCGCGATGTTAAAGGTGGCAGATCTGAGTATAGTTAATGTGGGAACATACCACTGCTTCTGAAAACCTAAAATATCTTTCTGTGCATTATGGAACATAAATTTTTATTATTAAAATGTGTATATATTTTTTGACACTACAGATATTCCCTGATGTGAGCTGAAACTAACACCATGAGCTAAAGACTAAATAAATGACATATGAAACAGAAGTTGATGGGAACATTTCTTACGAAAAGGTACAACCCGCAACGTGTTTCACATACGGTGCTGGTAATGTATGGGTGTCTTCAATTCGAGAACAGTTTCAAGACTTACTTACAACTGATGGCTAGAACACTATAAAAATACAGCAATGATCTAATGCAATTCATAATCATGAAATGAAGTTCAGTCCAATTAGTTCACATGATTATTAAATGCCCCTATATCTGGGCTGGGCTATAACTGAGATCTCATCCACAGCATTCTGGAAAGACGTGTTCCCTCACATCACATGAAAATTATGAAGACTTCCAAAAATACTTAAAACCTCTCCTTTGCTCCTCTGCAGGGTTCGTTTCACATGTAGATAAAATTGAATCTGAAACAAGAAACATTCAATATTAGGGCCCGGACACAACTTAGTGGGATTTGAGGTTTTTGCAGTGGTGACAAAAATGATGGCTGCCTTCTGAGCTGTAGGGAAGTGTATTCTGGCAGATGTTTACCAACATATCAGACATCCTTGCTGCCTCCATTAACAGGGTTATAAGTCCTACACACACACACACGTGTCTGACAACACAACGAACAAGCAGCAGAGTATCCAAGCACATTAACGCACGCTCAGTTACCTGTACTGTACCTCCAGTGCAAAGAACTCATATCTAGTTGTTTTCATACTTCCATGGAGAAATTATGTCATGGAAAGAATAATCATCTTTTATCCACAATATAATGAAAAAAATTAAACATGGGAGAAATCATGCAAGTATATATGAAATCAACTTTAATAATTGATATATCAATATCTGAGGGTCATATTATATTATTACCTGTCAACTGATTACTATGCAGTGAAATCTTCAATATACAGAGAACACGGAATCAAAACAATGTATAACGGTGTCTCTAAAAATGTATACACACTTTAATAAAAACCCAAGACAAAGGTAATGACTGGAGGATGTGGCAGAAAATACATCATGCAGAGCTTTGTAATTTGTATCCTTCACTAAATAATAATAATAGATCAAACCAAGAACGATAACATGGATGGGACATGAGAAATCCATATAAGTTTTGGTTGAAAAACCTCAAGGAAGCAGACCACTTGAAAGACATACGCAGAGATAGGCGGATATTACTAAATATTGCCATCACACCCCCGATCTTTATTTGTGGGGTTACCAGAAGTACATAGTATATGACTGAAAACTAGCACCATTCCATGAAATTGAGCAGTCATGTACAGCCATCCCAGCAGAAATGTTTGTTACTCGGCTCTTTGCTGCTGTCAGCGCGATGTTAAAGGTGGCAGATCTGAGTATAGTTAATGTGGGAACATACCACTGCTTCTGAAAACCTAAAATATCTTTCTGTGCATTATGGAACATAAATTTTTATTATTAAAATGTGTATATATTTTTTGACACTACAGATATTCCCTGATGTGAGCTGAAACTAACACCATGAGCTAAAGACTAAATAAATGACATATGAAACAGAAGTTGATGGGAACATTTCTTACGAAAAGGTACAACCCGCAACGTGTTTCACATACGGTGCTGGTAATGTATGGGTGTCTTCAATTCGAGAACAGTTTCAAGACTTACTTACAACTGATGGCTAGAACACTATAAAAATACAGCAATGATCTAATGCAATTCATAATCATGAAATGAAGTTCAGTCCAATTAGTTCACATGATTATTAAATGCCCCTATATCTGGGCTGGGCTATAACTGAGATCTCATCCACAGCATTCTGGAAAGACGTGTTCCCTCACATCACATGAAAATTATGAAGACTTCCAAAAATACTTAAAACCTCTCCTTTGCTCCTCTGCAGGGTTCGTTTCACATGTAGATAAAATTGAATCTGAAACAAGAAACATTCAATATTAGGGCCCGGACACAACTTAGTGGGATTTGAGGTTTTTGCAGTGGTGACAAAAATGATGGCTGCCTTCTGAGCTGTAGGGAAGTGTATTCTGGCAGATGTTTACCAACATATCAGACATCCTTGCTGCCTCCATTAACAGGGTTATAAGTCCTCAACAACCAGAAGACAGCCATCTTCATGTCACAACTTGATCTGCACCTTTAATCTTAAAGCAGCTGAATCACTGTGGGTTCAGTACTGAAATGGTAATCGATACAAACTGCGATAATACAATTGGATATGGATATAATACTTTCCTGTGCTACACCTAGTGGAAGAAGTAAGAACTTCAATATTCAAATATTTGTATATATCATCATTTAAGATCAATATGGAGTAATTAAACGTGCAGTAAGGACAATGATGTCAAATAATCCCTCTGCACTGGTATATTTAAAACCATCAGCAATCAGATTAATTATAAATTTACCTACCTGCAAAGTGCCTGAGGCAAAGATGAGATAATGGGGCCATAACCCTGAGCATTGTCATACAATTCAAACAATGGAGCTGCTACTAACTTGTAGTTCTTAGGAACGGCAAACAGAGCTGAAAATAGTAAAACATAAATAAAAGCCGAAGTAAAGTGCAGAAATGAACCATCTGTTTACACATGACAAAAGTAACATCTAGTACAGAACAAAATTAACAAACACACAGCTTAGTATCACTTGAAAACAAACATATTTGTGTATTACATTACAAATGATATAACATTTCATGTTTGCAAGCTGTTATGAGATAAAGTATGACACTACTAAGGGCATATATAAAATTAACAGCACAATGAAATATCACTTATATTTATACACAGTAATCAGAACAGAAGAAAAAACAAACTTCTGATTACAATTGGAATAAACAATAAATTCAAGTGTATGTAAATGTGTTCCAGACTTTTCAGAACCTGAACAAAAAGGAACAACCAATATTTACTTTATGATACATTCTGTATGATCACCTTAGCCATACAGTGGATATAACCATGTTACATGTTTCAAACAGGTTGGAATTGAAGTCTGTGACGCTCCTCTGCATCTCCTTCAATTAACAGTCTTCATATTATCAAAGAAGACAACTTCATTACAGTTCTCTAATTTGATGTGAAAGACAGTTTTAATAGAACAATATGTTCAGAAGAACGCTAACAGAAGTCCTCTTTTTTTTTAACATTTTATCAGAATTAATCACAAAGTATTACAACAAATATTTATAGATCTTTAAGAAACAGGATTCATCTGGCTCCAGATAGGATCCAGTGGCAGACTCTCAAACATGAGCACAGCAATAAACCTTCGGATTCTATACAGGGTAGAAATTTTTTTGCCAGCTGAGCAATGACCAGATTCTCAAAAACAAATTATAATAATTTGCTTTGATTCCAATGTTTATCAATGGCGAATGACTGGGTATCAATTAAACAAATCAGTTTCATAAATTAATATTATTTTTCTATAATAAAAACTTTCTATGACACTAGATGAGTTTAGTTTTATCTTTTATCAATCGGTTATTAGAGGTAAAACTGAAATAAACTAATTTACACATACGTAAAATTAGTAACAATACATTGGTGTTTGGTGGACAGTCTTCTGTATAGAGAACACAACTTAATACATGACTGAGTAAAATAAAAATAAAAGCACAACATGAGCGAACGCAAAGAAACAAAATGAATACAAAAGCAAAGGAATTGCAACAGCAAAAACTTTATTCCAAATTGTATTGTTTTAATTAAAATAAATTTGGCACATTACTATACAACAGCAAAATAATAATGTATAAACAAATAACAATAATAAAGTTGCCTTCTTTGTGAACATATAAAAAAATTCTGAGTTTGTGACGTCAAACTTCCTGCTCGATCCAAAGCTGAAAGGTAACAGTAAAAGTTACATTATATAAAAACAAGTTTAAAAATGTACCCTGCCCCACCCACAATAATATGAAAAGATAATGAAAGTGTGACTACTCTACCACTGACGGAGACTGAAACAAGGTTACATATATCAGAATTTTAAATCAAAATATAAAAATTAAAAACATTTTTAAGAAATTAAGGAAACATTCAAACTGGCAAATCATGAATTGGTTTCTCCCAGAAACATATAGCCTTGTTCACATATCAATACCTGACAATATAAAAAATTTATATTCTAAGGGGAAACCATTTCATTATGCCAAACATGTAGTAGAAGATTTAACAAGATTTATAGATCCTTGTATCACCTCCTTCCAGTGACAGTACAATTTAACAACATGTTGAAACTGTGTTACAAATGCTAAACACTTTCAAGTGCAATGATCCTATCATCCAACTAACCAGTACTCCTGTAAATCAAAATATAGAAATGTGTCACCATTTCCCTCCCTTCTTCATTCATAATAATGGGGACCTCACTACAAGTACAATAAATGGATCTAAGAGCCTCGAAAATATACGACACAGGTCCAGAGTAACAGTTTATATCTTATAACTATCTCCAGTACTAATAGAAAGTGAATGTATTTACTTATTTGTGGTTTAGTTAATGAAAGCTTCAGTTGCTACCTCGATGTTGCCCGGAATGGACACCACCGTCAGATTTGAACGAGTCTATCTCAACATTCCAATGCAAGGGGCAAAACGTAAAATTAGTATGTAACATGAGAACAAAACATTTCTTCTAAACAAAACAGATAATCAATCTAAATTAACAATACAAGCAGTTTGAATTTTCCCTCAGCTAGTAAAATATATATCAGTTCTTGCACGCCAAATTAAATGTTTTACTGATTACTATCTCACTGCTCAATACATATTACAAATGGCAAACTAATCCTAGTGCCTCATTTAATACAGAAACTGAGCTTAATGCCTGTGAGAAACATTATATTACTATAACACACCGTACATAAATTGAAGCTAACTTTCTCATGCATATTATGAATTATTAAATCAACAAATAATGCTCTTGGACATAGTTACACATGTTGTTAAACTGTAGACAAATTAAGCATGAAAATGTTCCATATTAGTGACAAATTCCAATTAAAATCTTATAAATATTCTCCAGAAAACATTTCATACAAGGTTTAACAGAGATTACCATGCGACAATCACAAACACTGTATTCAATATGCTTTTAGGAACTTGCAGTAGTCATAAACTTGGAAATTTTGGTCCCACAAATTTCCTTTATAATTTTAAAGAAGTTTTACAAAATGTTTAACGACTAACATTTCTTACAACTATCCTAGTGCAAGTGAGGAAACATTACAGAAATAAAACACTGTACATTTCATTTAACAGCCAATCATTACAGACTTTCAAGTGTCATTCATCGAGTTTCACAGATCTGTATTTAAAGTTGACAACTGATATATGCTGGTAACACTATGGACAATAAACAATCATATTTTCTGGTGATATACATGCTTTAGACAGAATAAGTGACATTAAAGTTTTATGCACTGTGAGGTAAAATTTAATTGAGAGCAGCATGAAACTTAAACTACATAGTGTTAAGGTCTGGCACAAATACAAAGGCGAGTTCTAAAATTGAAAACAATGAAGAAAATTACACACGAACATGGGTCGGAAAACTCTCCTTTCGGAGCTCAAAATGTCCTCAAAGAGTTACGAATCTGATATCTTCAATTAACTGTTAAAGAGTCACTACATCTAAGGGTCCCCACAAACCCTTTAATCTGCTTACCACGAATAGACAAATTAAATTTACAGAGTAGACAGAGAATTTGGATTGTGCAAACTAAATCGCAAACATTGCTGGTTAATATTACTGCTAGAATGTCAGTGTCGATACTAAAATGCCCTGCCAAAAGTTTATCTAATTATAACATACAATCTGACACCAACACTTCTCTCTTTCTCTGGCGTCCTCTGCCACGCTGCTCTGAGCACAAAAGTGAAGTAAGAAAAATATGCCACATCTAAAATTTCAGAAATGAAAAGAGGGTATAAGTCAGAAGAAAGGGTTTTCCAGACCCATATTCACCTGAAATATTTTCACCGTATCAGTGAATAGAACTCACACGTTTGTGCCAGACCTGGAACTTATGTCCTGCATAATGGGGAAAAAGAAAAGAAATATATATATATAAGCACAAGCAATTAATGAAGATGTTGTATGTACTATGAAACATACACATCTCAGCTACATGCTCATTTATTTAACTCATTTTAAACAAGTTTAAATGCCAGTTAGCCCATCTTCCTTATAATAATCATGTCTGTATGGTTATCTACACAAGACAGAAACTTCTGAAGTAACTGGCAAATTGTCATGGAACAATGAAGTAACATTACACCATCAGCAGTACCACTGCCTTCAAACATTTGAATTTTGTGCCTTCAATAACACCATCACGGTAATTTTAAATTCTGAGACAGAAGAGAAAATAACACCACTTAACGTAACACTTGAAATTTTGTGCAGCGACAGATCCCAAAAACATGTCAAGGCCATAATTTTCCATGTTCTGGAAGATAACTGTAATGCAGTCAGTGTGGAAAAGTTTGTGAAAGAAACTGCCTTGCCTCGTGCTAGAAATGACCTCACTCCATGACAGTATATAGTAAGGAAAACCGAACATGCATATTGTGTACATTTCAGCTATTATTACAATCTCATAGGAAGTAATGTTATAATATGACAACTACATGAAATCTAAACTAAGCTTTCAGACTGAGTGATAAAAAACCATTATAGCCAGGAACATTACACTAGAAAAAAGATCGTAAACACAATTATGAACACTTCATGAAACCTCCTTTTGTAAATCAAAACTTACAAACACATGGCATAAAACAATGGGGTTACACCAGTACATAAATTAAAGGATGCAAAATATACTACTAGAAATTATGCACAAAATCAGATCTATAAAGTCTGTAATTGCATCATATAATTCAATGTGGCCGCTGTGTATAGATTTAAATACATGAAGGGACATGTGCACTGCAAGTTCTTTCCAGAACTTCTTGTTATGAATATTCCTTCATTAATGGTGCGTTATATCATATTCCAGTAACTTAGACTCTAAGTCCAAATGGACAGTAATATATATATATTGTATGCACAGTGTCCTATCAGTGCAAAGAACATGTAACGTAAACACTTTTTACAAGACTGGAGTGAATACAGAGTGCACAGAATTGTTCTTGTACAAAACAAAATGTTTCTGCTTCAATTAATTTTGAAACATAGAAATGAATAGGTAACACGGATGAATATCCAATAAAATACTTAAACAACAATATGAATCAAATGTATGAATATAGACACGTCATCTTTGGGCGACATTGCATGCACCGTTTCTTAAAATATCTGTGAAACATAGTACTTAAATATGACAGGGAAATAAAGAGTGAAACTGATGAATAAAATGACATACATAAACATGATTAATGTATATTACATAAACTGATGCTGAGGTATGTAATTCACTGACTTTGAACTACTAACAAGTTTAGAAAGGATCCAATAGAAGTTATCATACTAGAGGCTACAAACGAAGAACAGGTGATTATAAAATTGACGATGGTAATCACATCCAAGAAAACCCTTAAATTGACTTGAAAACCTGTAATGCTGCTGTTCAGGAATGTACAGTACAGTGTCTTTACATTATAACATACACATTTATGTGGCATTATAATGAACCACAGTAACCTGACTGTTACGTAATCAAGTTGGTTTTGTGTAATTAATTTACAATTGCATATACATATCAATTTGCATCAATGGAAATATTAAATGTACCATAATCATTATAAGTTTCTGACAAACTGTCTGTAATTTTGTAACAAATGTTAGACAGTTGTTATAAAATGTCAACTGGAATTACAGAACTACAAACAATAATACTGATTTTACTTATTCGTACTAAAGGCAGTGTTACCACATATCCAACACAACATGACTCGCTAATAAAAGTTTTGACTGAAGGCATAAATATTAATATCTGCACATTTAAAAAAATGTAGGAAATTCGACATCAGTGACTTTCCTGAAATATGTTAAAGACACTGACCACTTTAACCCACTGAACATAGAGCACGACGAATATTAACGATATGCCAACACTAACATTTCTGGAATGTTATCATGATCACTAATGACACATTACAATACCAATGTCCCACAGACCAAGGTAATTTAGATTAAGCAGTAAGCGCTTGCTGTCAGATAATGACAACACTACCTTTTGAAAATGCTGCACTTAATATTTCCACTTATCTATAAATAAAGTTAAAAACTAATCCATGAAATAGAAACAGCTTAAGATAGAAAATATATACATACGAAACTACAAATGTTTCTTGAACCGCATACAAGTCAAGGTACATAATTTGTTCCTACCCTTCTCTGCCAACTGCACAAGGAAAAGACGCTTATGCTCTTTTGGTTTAGTGATGTGAGGGGGGACATAGGGGTACTGTGGCGGTTCGAAGTTTGGCCTCCACCAGTTGCCTATTGTATCCTCAATGACCCAATCCTGTTTCACGCCATCTTGCCTGCCAAGAGTCTGTAATCAAGCAACATTACAACATATCCCTAATCCAATGCCTGGCCAGGGCAACTCATCTACAAACACAAAATCTTAACAAACTTGGCCTTGTAAATACCAATTACACACAGTTCACAAGACACAAATTTGATTATAATTCTTGGTTACAAAAATTCCAAACCTTTCATACAGTTATTCATAATAGGATTTGCTCAAGATGACTTCAAACAATATATATGTACCCAGCTATAAGCAACGCAGCTCATAAACAAAATATTACCCATATTCCAAGAAAGAATTACTGTAAAAATTCAAGATAGGACACAGTAATTCAAACTAAGATAGAAGTGTAATATTAATATTCTTAAGCACTGTTATATTCATCATTATTACATTCAAGGTCCTACATGAAAAATTCAGTCTTTAATATAACCATCTCGTATCACAATACAAGTGTTATTAAAACAATCACCCCACCCTTGAACATATTACACATGTTTAACAAACATTATTACTAATTTCTTTTATTGAATTTTAACATGTTGTAATATTTTAAGCAACTGGGTATGTTCTGTGTGGTGACACCATGTAGTCTTGTTGGTGGTTGCCAACATTTCAGGGGAATGTAAAGCCTCCGTCATCTACCATAAAGATGAAAACAACAGGTTCCACAAGAAACAGGTAACCATCTGCAACAGTACATGAGAGCACAACCCAGAATACCAAAATTTAGATTTTCACTCCTGTGAAAACCTTAAATATCACAAAATAAAATGATAAATCAAAATTAATTTTAATACAGAGAAAAATACTTTTCTGAACACTGAAAATAATTCTTGTAGTCAAGTCGCCACTTCCCTTCATTGTAAATGAGCCTATGTGATATCAGCCAGCATATGTACGTATATACCACTCTTTATACACGTGTACAAGACTGACAAGTAAACCCTCAATTATCCATGCTCTTGCATTTAAAGTACAGTGTATGTGAGACAACTAAAATGCAAGCGTGAAGAGTAATACCATAGAAAACATCAAATTATTCATATAAGACACCATAATCACAAACTACTGCCATTTCAAAGACAGGAAACACATTACCTACTTAATACACTAAAACGTGATACATGAAACTGTTCAAAGTTGACTTAACAGTGCCCTAAAATGGACAATACATTCTTCATATTTAAATAAATTTTAACGAAGTTCCTGAAAAGTGAATCATGACAAACATGTGCTTGACAAGGATTATTTTATTTTATTAAGCCCCATTTGTCTTTGTCGATAAATACTACGGAATCTGTCTTCACCAGAACATTTGTCTGGTCCCAATAAAAGAGATTTGGTGCAAAATTATCTCCCACAAAATAAAAATCCCCTACTCCTGAGGAAAGGTAAACATTAAACAGGCTGGTTGTCGCATCTCGACAAGGGTCTCTGGACATCAGTGTGGGGCACCAATGATCACCAGTAGCCAAAAACTCCATACAGAACAAACATGGAATTCAATTTTACAAAAAAAGTCATGATAAACTTCAACGAATATTGTCCTAGCATCAGATAAACCATCACAATAATCAAATGCCCACAGAACATCAATATAAATCTGGAGCCATCTGTTCCCTCCATATTTAATTCCAAACATCACAACTCATACCAAATAACTAACGTCCACAGCAGCGCATCAGCTAGTCACACCCACCTTCTCCTTTTCTTAAAAAATCCCCATCTAAGACATATATATTCCAAGCAATTTTCCTATCCACAACCCTGATGATGGCAACTGTAATTTTTGCTAAAACGTTATTTATGTCTCAGTAATCCTGAATCATTGAACTAATTCCTGTTGAAGCAGTGTTCAAGCGTCCTTTCATCCCTTTACTTAAAAACGCTGCTGTAAAAACTTTTACATAATTCTGATGTATGCAACACTTCCCAGTTACTCTGCGGGAAAAAATTGTTTCGTTTCCTCATAACTTCTAAAATATTTAAAGAACGTTTTTATATACTCTTCACTGGATAACTGAGAGTTCTCTGAAATGAAGTCTGATTTCAATGTAATAGCTGTTGAAGGGACAGGAAGATCTAGAAAACCACATTACACAATTTGTAACACAGTGGTACATATAATTACCAGGATAAGAGAACTGCTATAATAATTTTCAGGATAAACTGCTCTCAAATCTTCTATTACCTGTCAACATTTCAGTCAATAGTATATATAAATTGATGTAACTAAAAATGTGTATTTATATCAAACGTAACAGCACTTGAAAGAGAGTACTATGATTTTATGCTGACTTTATGTAACAATGTAACAATACAGAACTAAACAAAAAGTATACAGTTCTGGTACGAGACACGCTTCTAACACGAAGATAAAAATCACAGCACTGGCCATGATAAATTGAACATACACAATACTCTTTACATACAAACCATATAAATGTGAACACTACACTTTTCTAGAGAAGAAGACACAAGGAGTCGATGGTTAGTGATGACATGAAATTAATTTACCAAGGAGTGATTCATACCTGTGAATATTATTTCATGACCGAAGCAGCCAGAATATGTATTACTTTAGTAATGACTACTGAAATATTCAGTAAAGAAACTCACCCTCTACATGTCAGTGAAACTTATTCCTTACAACTGGCAATTAAAGAAAAACGCTGTGTGTTTCTGCGACACTGCTTTTGGGAAAATTCACTTTCAATTTCTGTCTATATGACTTTATGTAATATAAAATAAATTAATTTACAAACACCATAGTTTGCACTAACGTCATTCATGCATTACTTCAAACCTAAAATACAAAGCACTTATCCAAAAGATAAGTTGGCATGTTTTCTGATATCACTAAGTGTAACAAAGTATGGGGGGGGGGGGGGGGGTTTCCCCCTCAGTGACAGGCTTCATATTCCAGAATTGCATAGAAAACTGACTGAAGGCAAGAGTAAACTAATGATATGTAGCAGTAAAGCACAAATTAAATGGGAATAACGGAATACTACTCATTTTAAGGAGAAATTAAACCATTCCATTATTTCTTCAGTGAATATAAAAGTAAGGCATTCAAATTTGTTTTACTAACATGTCCTCTAAATGGTAAGTTGTCCCTATGCTTAATTTAGTCCGATGCCAAGAAAACACATCGGTAAATGAGGCATGGCTCCATGCATTCGTAACCTCAAACTAAACAGAGTGGAGCAGTCTGGAAAGAGCACCCGATACCAAATGGATAAGAGGATGGATGAACCCCAAAGATGGTCTGGATGTGGTCGCAATAAGAAAACTCCCAGCCCCTGTGCTAGGACTCAAAGACACTTTCTAGTAACATACTTACTAGATACAAAAAACTTTGTAAACCCACATCCCACACGATTAAGAAATTATATCACTACTAGTAACGAGAGTGCAGATAACATTAAACCGAAGTGGAAATTTGGCTCAGGCATAAAAGCAAATATCCCTGGTGTTTCTCTATAAAATGGAAGCGATTTCATATAAACACTAAAGAGATAACTTACAATGTTACATTCAATTACAACTAGAGTGTTATCTCACAAAAAAAATTGTAATAGATGCTCAAATATTTCTTACCATTATAAAAAATTTACATGAAAGCTTACAACACACAAGAACAATTGATTCTCCTGATAGAAACATGAAAATATATAAATATAAAGAACAGAATACAGTTCAACAGATTTAATAAAAGACTGTCAGACTTAGGCATTTACAAATGATATAAAGTTGCAACAGCAGAACAGTTTATTGATTTATTGTTACCAAATGACACATGAGTAAATTTCTTTTTTTTTTTCTAAGTTTTAAAATCTGTAAAGACAAAGATACAAGGAGAACCAGATGGTTTAAAAGTGGACTCAGAGGTAAGCAGGAATAAATGCACTGGTGCATATCACGTGAGATATTTGTTCCTTTTTTTATGGTTGATCACTACTATATCAGCATTGACTACAAAGATCCATCATGAAAATTGCAATTCCCTGTGAAGTTCTAATAGTTTGATTTTAAGACAGTGATGTACAATACATTGCCACTGAAAAGTGGTTCAATTTAAATATGTACAGACTGCCGTGGGTCCGACCTTACTCTACACACAGAATAAAATGCCTGATTTCTTCCAGTTCTCTCAAACCAAATAAATGAGACATGTTAATGGACTTTTAACTGTTTTAGTGATTGATGAAACCTCAAATAAGCCATTAACCATTGTGGCAGTCACTATGTTATATTTATTTGCTTTCATTGTCATGTTTACACTATTATGCAAGGCATTTCATCAGATAAATGCCAATGCATGATTTTTCTGTGTTAGTTTAGACAATCTTTTACCACAATGTATGCTTTAAATAAAACTGTAATATTTACTTGCATACAACACACACACACACACACAGTTCTCCTACAAAATGGTGACTGGAAATTAGTGCAAGTGCCCTTACTGAGAACAGCGTAAACACACACACACTTGCTACTCCTAACTTGTACTCATAAACTATTTATTACCAGGTAATCTAACATTTTCTATATTTAATCATCCCACCAAAAACTGAAACCTAAAACAGACAGGGCTGGTTGGCAGTGGTAATGTACCTGACCCATCTTTAAAACACATCTGGTTTGAATCTTGGCTAGCGACAAGTCATTCTGTGCCATTCTTCAGTCCCTCCAGGCAAAGGCTAGGATAATAATTCAAAATTGGCAATGACAGCCTCCTTACTCATCCCTTTCAGTTCATTATCACAAATATCTTACAACTGACACTGAAAACCCTTGTAAGTATATAAAATGCTTCTAAACTCACTATGCAGTAATATATGAAATCACTGTCTCATAAATATCCTAGTTTGTTACTAAATAAATGAAGATAACACAAATAATTCAGGTTCCTACATTGCACTGCTTATACTTAGCACACAAATAAACCCAAACCTAAGAATTTTAAAAAAAAATTATCGGTATTGAGCACTACATATTGACACTATATTTTGTTTCAATCAAATAAAATCTCTTTCATAATCAAAATAAGTTCTTCACTGACACTTTTCCTATCTTAGGTCTGTTAGTATCCAAATTACACAAACTTGGCTTTTATTAGTTACTTACCACTACCTGAAATGTCACTGTTCTGCTACAATTTCAACATATTAATTTCCATAGATTTTACACTAATTAATTACTTCTAGTATGGATTTGTTTGTTCTGAAGTTCGCAAATATTAATAAACGGACTGGTGAAAGCTTCCTTCTGCTCAGACAATATACATATACAGTGCAAAAAATTCTCCTTTAAAGTTTGTAAGAATATCGCACATAAAATGTATATTACAGTGAAATATGAAAAATCTGAATCCATGTATTTGTAACAATGCAAATGTAACAAAAATGTTCATATATAAACGTGGTTTATCTCATAAACTTATTTGGTTTTACTTGCAGATTTAGTTACTGTAAACACAGTGAAACTCCATTTAATGTTCCTTAATTTAAGGTTAAAATTCAAATTCTAGTAATCATTAAATTTCCCCCATTTGCTTAATGTTTAGTATTTAAATCCATTATCCACCAAGCAAAACCTTAAATGAGGACTTCACTGTAATGTAAAAGTAGCCACATGAAAATATGAAAATAAAATCCAAAAACTTCCAGACATGACTAAAGTTAAGCTGCAATCAACAGGCTTCTCTGCAGAAGGGAACATGAATAGAATTAACCTTATATAACAATGCAGGACAGATCTCTAAATTGTATCAAATCAGTCAAAATTACTTTGCCTCCTACATAACCCATGCAGTTGAAGAAGTAATGGTAACTACTTAAAGAATCAATTATATACAACCATCTTCAAAAACTAAACAAAAATGCAAACCATGTCTCAAGTATCACTACATTACGCTGATGTAATGTGTCTATAACACAGGTTCTATAAACATATTATCTTACTTAATTCCTCAAGCATACTGGCGGCCAATTAAAGCCCTTTAACAGAAACTACCTCAAACATTCTGGTATTAATTTAAGGGGCTGTAATCACCATCACCTCACACGAGGAGTCATATATCAAAGTATGCGCAAAAACAATTTTGAAACTTGTTCATTTATGATTTTAAAAATAATATCACTGAAATTATTACATCTGCATTGCCTATAAATACAATATCATTATGTAACAACTATAAGCTTTGATACTGAGAAAGTGGAATGGCTAATAGAGGAAGCAAAACAATCGTTGTTTGTTCGGAAAAGGAAAATGATCAAATACCTCTGTCAAAAGCCTTTTCAGTCCTTCCACTTCATCTTCTCCTGGATTTAATTCACCACCTGGCCTGAAAAAGAGTATTAAAATGACAGAACTCTTTAAATGTCTGCTAAATAAACTTTAAATGCATATTTTTTAAATCTAAAACAATCAAAAGCCACAATTTTAGCCCTCCAGGAACAAATACCACTTAAAATGACTCAGTAATCTTTCATCACCAATTGTTTCATGACTACACTAAATTAAGGCACAAAAAAAAATGACGACGACCATGACTCATACGTCCATAGAGAATGAAACAGACACAAAATCCAAACTTCGCTAAGAAATTTTTAACTCTGAAGGTGGAGTAGCTTCCAAGTTTCATTAATACTGGGCAAAATATCTCGTATCAACTGCTGTAACTGACCAGGGATATATAACTGCAATTCAGTAAACAGGTTCCAAGGAATAAACATAGCTCCTTTAGAAACCTAAAAATGTTGCATAATACATTAGGATATTTACAAAGGATGAGGAAATCTGAAATAATCATAATAACTTACAGTTTGAAAAATGTTGTTCCCAACTGTAGCAACAACACATGAGGTAAACCATGTTCATGAACTAGGAGGACTCCCTCCACGCTACGGCGCATTCCAATCTTTTCAAACTCATCTCTCATCCGCTGAAACCTTGCCGGCACAGAAGGATCCTTTTCAAATAGAGGTTCCTTTGTGCCAAATGTGTAATTTGTCAAAGGATATCTAAAAAAAATAGTACCATGTTACTCCATCTAGAATTTGATTTATAGATATAATTGTGCATGAGCGCATGCACACACAAAGTTTCCTTACACTTGAATTCATCCATCACTTAAAGACAAGTAACAACATTCACACACAACAAATTGCTTCCATCTTTGGTGCTGAAGATATTGCCCACTTCATACCTGAATATGGAGACAATGTTCCTCCTTAATGTCAGTAACCACCTACAAGACTATATATCGACAGAATATGGAAGACAATCATCATAATTTAAACATTTAATGCTGCACCGAACAATACTGAATAACGTGATTCCTGCATAGTAAGAACCTTGTGATAACTACTGAAGTTAGCATTTGGCATATGGAAGTCATGTTTATGCCTTGCGTTTATACTATGTATGCCACACTTATACATATATACATTCAACATATTTTTTTAGAACTTATACAGAAGTTCATTGATAACAGACTGATCAATAATACAAACCGGTTACGAAACCGTATTAACCACCTGGAATGCCTTTGTTCGCAAAAGTAATGCAGCTAGTTCCACTTTACTGTTAACACCCAATTTAATTTCTGTCACACATTACCTATTACCACTTTTTACCCTTTAGGCTTTGAATCCTCTATTCGGCAGGTCTTTTTATGACAAGTTACGCGGTTTCTTCCAGTTTTCGTCCATAACTAAGAAACTGAACTGGATCCAAACGCATGTGTAACTCACGTCATTTTAACGCTAAGCATTATTTCAATAAACACAAAAAGATGCTACCTTCATACATAACAAGCTAATGTGAAAGACCGTTGTATCCATAGCCATATTCGCAAGCCACCATGAAAGTGAACAAAAAAGCCTTCCTAAATCAGGAATACAAAATGTATTTGTCCATGTACTCACAGGTTTATTGTTCTGTTGATGGTAATTGACTGATTTGTTACAAATTTTTGATCAAAAGGAGTACTCTGACTTGCTCTTCGAGGCCATCCACTACCCTTAATCTGAGTAGCCGCCATCGTCATTTTTCATTAAACAATACTATTGATGACGCCACTTCTCTCCGGTCACAGACTGAAAACAGCGTTTTCTCAAAAACAATAGATGACTCTTACAGCGCCAGCTCTTATTCAAACAACTGAACAAATTCGAAAAAGGAAAATGAATCTCAAATAAACCAACAAGAATACAAAGAACACCTCACTAACACTATAATCGTCTTTGTTTTAGGTATCTCCTAAGTCTTGTGCTATCTTTGTTTATGTGATTATACTGCCATTAGTTCTATCTACTCTACAACACTGCTTCCATCTCTATTCATAATAACGTAACCAGTTCTTATAGGGTAGCCAACATAATCATCTCAAAAAGCTACGAGCTTGCTATTTACTTTACCCACCCTGTTTCAGATGTCTCTTCGACCACCTCACAACTACACCGACTAATTTCATTGGCTAAAATTCTGCACACAGTGGATAGCCATTTCATCGTCAAACGCGTGAAACTGCGTGAAAAGCAGAAGAAAGAGGGGGAATTTGAAGATCCATAACAAAAGTAAACTATGAATTCTTTTTCGTGAATACTGTATTAGTAGTTCATGTTCAAATATAACTTGGCTTTGAGGCAGGTAGCTGAACATATAAAACTTCCAGCTGGATTGGAACGACATTTTTTTCTTGCCAGTGTGTGGTTTATGACACAATGCGTAGAGTCTTCACTTTCGACAGTGAACACAATACAAGACTACGTACAAGATTGAAATAAGTTATTTGTTGTAGCTCCTTTAAAAGAATAGTGGAATTAAAATACGTTATTATTTCCTTTTGCAGAATTTACATTAATGTAGAATTCTTATGTAGTGTAAATATCAATGAAAACTTTACATGTAGTTCTTATTTTATTGTGTGTATTGTCCTTATAAAATAATCTGTTAATAGCTGCAGTAACCATATCTTTATGTGTATGCAAATGTTCTATATAATTGGCTTAATCCTGTTTAGGATTTATGAATGTAGATTAATGTTACTTCCAACTGTAAATTTATTGCAATCCAAAACAGGCACAGCTTCACTTTCATAATTATCCTAATGTGTTTCACCAGTGTTACATGTCAAAAGCAAGCAATGCATCATTTTATTCTGTAATGTCTTCAGTACATTATAGGTGCAGACATAGACACTGATAAAAACTGCTCTACTTTTCAGGTGTAACTGGTTCCCTTTACAATGTCTGGTGTGCCCCTTCTAAAGCGTGCAAGAGTTGAAAGCAAAACAATCCTCTCAGCAATAGAAGCTTGCAGCAAAGAAATGTCCAACTTAAAACTGGCATTCAACCAACGATTAGCGAGTATTGAAAATCGCATGGGACTTATTACAGCAGGGTGTAATACCATCATTTCAAGAATGGATGCTCTCGACAACTTTGTACAAAACTGTGTAAAATCGGATGGTCTCAGACACTCTTGTTGCGAAGAGGTTCTCCAGAAAATTAATACAATAGAGGAAATATTAAAATCTTCACCTGTGACGCATCACATTTCATCTTTAAAAGATGACATTGAAATCTCAAATACAGATATGTAAGTAGTGTGACACAGTTTGATAATAAGAATATAAAATTACTTCAAGATGTGACTGTGTAAATAATGTAAAAGGCTGAATGAGGGTTTCTTTATCACTCCATCATTAAATTATCCTCTTAGTTTCATGTCAATTCAGCCATTGCCTGTATAAAGTTTTTCATTTAATATAATCAGGTTTACATCTATGTGCATTTTAGTGGTTAAGATGAATGAACTGGACGAAAGACCAGGCAGTCATATTCGACACCAAACTGTAACCAACAGACTTATTCAGTATCAAATTTAGTGGATGTACAAGTGAAATGAACAAGAGTACAAATTAATTTTTTCACATAAATTTGAATCATGTTACTCTGTAACATATACCGATCACATTTTCAGATCGTCTCCTGTGGTGTTAGTACGAAATCACAAACCGGCGCAAGTTAGTGCATCACTGGGACTGGATTCCACACTACAAGTTATCACACTAAACAGCAAGACAGACTTCCCTGAGGGAAGTTGGCTAGGGGATGAAAATAATCCTGAAGCCAGAGTGCGCTGTGCAATCACTCCATCGTAAGGAAAACTAAGCACATAATGTGTAATATAATTCTTGTATGAAGTAATTAATTTAATATTTTAAAGGAAATAAAGATATTTATAAACCGCTTGAAATTTTCATATTTTAAAATTATTTATTAATGCAGATTATATGGTAATGGGTTCTGATTACTGAAGAATTTCTAGATCTCATCATGTGCCATCTCACACACACCCCAATTATCATAATTCAACACATTATTAAAATATATAAACTCAGTTTTTAACTGTTTCTAATGCTGTTTCACATGCACATAAACTGAAACCTCATCTTGATGTATACCCAGCTCACACTCCCAAATTATTTAAGCCGTTCTTGGTATTACTTAAATTTAATGAAGAACATTTCAAATGATTTTATTCAGAGGATTCTGAAATGTTTATTTCCATTGAAATTTATTTTCACCTGTCAACATTTTCCATACAATTTATGTGAGAAAGTAAAATGAAGCATAGTAATTTTCCATTTAATGCTGCATTACATGTTCCTAAAAGAAATTATAAAATGAAAATGACTTTCACACAAGGAATTTTATCACAGGATATGACATAAAAACAGGGAGTACATTTTACAGTCTTATATTTTACAGTGTTTTTATGATATATTATTTACTGAACAGTATATGTGTAATATTTTGTCTTACATGGAGAAAAATACAGCGTTACCAGAGAGTGTGGTAACATTTGAAAATCAAGTGAGGAGACATTAGAAAGATATAATATTCTGCATCTGATCATAATCCATATTAACAACAGCTGACCATGAGACTCTGAAAACAAACCAAAAGATCAGCATGGAATTATGCACATGATTTGGCCAGTCCCCCCCCCCACTTCCAGTTTGCTCAAAGAACTTTTTTATTATGTTTACCTGCTGTTACTGTCACCAACAGTTTTTGCTGATGGAAATTATTGCAATGTTAACAAGTCATTCCATGGACAGAAACTTGTTGGGATATTTTTCTGGGAATTCCCCCTTCAACTTTTCTTACAGACAAAGGCTTACAATAATTTATTTTCAGCTGACCACATTCATGCCCTGGATAAGAAATTCTGCTTAACACCAATCTCTTTGTTGGTTTCAAAGAAAATTTTTGTTGTGTATGTTATTTTACCTTTTCAATCATCACATGACACAATCATTCATTTCCAGTCCCAGTTGATTTTCTTTGATCTTCCTGTCATAGTCTAGATCAAAATTAAAAAGCAATCAGGATGTTTTGTTACAACACTGTGAATGTTAAATGCATGAGACATAATACATATTCAAAGTTAAAGAATAAAATCATAAATCTCATACATTAATGAAGAATTCTATAATTTCAAACTTATTTCCAGATGTCAGGAAGCTATACAAATTTTAATATTTGTAGGCATACAAGGAATGATGTAGTTATTTTAATATACTGTGGTTTTACATTTATATGTGTTCTTTCAATTTTAGGAACTTACTTCATATAAACACATTCTGCCAAACTCCAGAGAAAATGGCTGTCACTCTGCTTGATTACCTGTTTCCACGAGAGGTACTGGCCGTGTCAAACTTGTCAGGAAAAGGGAAACACCGCAAGAGACAACTGGATCCTCTCATGGTACATACAATATATTTTCTGTATAGTAAATCAAACAAGTTTAATTTTCATAAGTAACAAAACATTATTGAATTCACATTGATATACCTGTGTAACTATTCTTTTACTAGGATCCTAGATCAGTCATTCCCTATAAAGTTCATTGATGATTGCTTTTTCTTAATTCTGCTAAATTTTGTTAAAAGTAAAATTGTTTTGGAAAGAAATGAATTCAAATTTCACACACAGCCTACCTATCCAACTTCCTCCTCCTAACAAAAATAAATAAATTCACAGTTGGCAATACTGCAGCATTATGTTGTCTGCGCCAGACATGATATTAATACCGATAATACCACATCCTGATTTATTTTCACTGTTCTGCAGATTTATGGAATTCGGTGTCATTTATTGTACAAATTCAACATCACTGAGAGAGACTGGTATCGAATAAAGCAGAATATGGATTCAAAATGCAGAACGGCTTGGAAGAAGAAAGTACGAGGACTGCCACTTGGAGGCTTCAGGGTTAGTTAATGAAGACAGCATATTTCATATATTGAACATGTTTTTGTAGTCCATAAATAAAAAATGAAAAACTCCCACAGGGTTCCAGTCAAAATGACAGCTCTTCTCATCAGCTGCATCATATTATCTCTGAGGATGGAGAGCCTTTAATTGTCGCAGCTGATTCGTATGTGGAGGATGATTCTGTTGAAGCACTGGAAGCTCAGGTTTGTGCACATATATTTGACAATGTAATGACATAATCAGCACTACAGATATATAGAGAAATGTGCAAATTCCAGAATGACCTACTAGCATGCAAAGGCCGTGTTCTGCACTGTTCTAATACGCTTTCCAAAAGTCTGCCGTCATCTCATTCATTAACAGTGAGGTGAATCACACCTTGACACCTGCTATAATGTGCGGTAAGTTATGCTATACAATGCGGTTAAATAATGTATACGAGTTATTTTCATCTGACGGTATAATGTCATGGCAGATTCTACATAAAGTGGAACATACTGTACTATAAGGAACAGCCATTTGTAACATGGTGTTGCCACCGCAAACATGGGATTTCGTTATAGATGAGACAGTGAGTAAGACCCCTTACAGAGACACAGGAAAATTTTGGTCCTTGTCTCTACGCATTATAAATATTGCTTAGTTCAAGCACATTCTGAAGAAAAAATAAAAGGTGTAACACTGGCGTTAAATGGTTCTGTTTTAGGTCATTCATACATCACAGGGTGATATCAAAGTTTTACATGCGACACCTGAACAGCTTGCTCGTTTACAAGAGACACATCACATTCAAGTTTTGAGCGAAGATCAAATTTTACCGGTAGGTACCCACAAGTTTCATATACTATGCAGGATATCTAAAAATATACGTGTATTTATTTTTACGCACAAGTATGAAAGTAGTTCTGAAACAGACCTTAAGTCATTCAATAGGTCAGAAAGTTCTTCAGACACTGTGAAACTTACACGGGCCATTTCATAATGGATAATTATTAAGATCAAGTTATGTTTCAGGTTTTACATGAACAGATAATGGACTCAGAGGACACTGTGGTTGAGACAGCAAATTCGCTGACACTGGGTTGTTCAGACCAGACATTAACAATAGTAACATCGACAGGTGAAGTGAGTGTAGATGTAGAAAACATAGCAAGTCATCACGGGCAGCTGGTGGAGACACAGGTGTTGCAAATAGGAGACAACGGTGATTTGGGAGTGGTGGAAACCAGCGACAGAGTAACGGAAGGAAGCGAATTCATTACACTTGACTGACATGCCAATCTGCAAACCTGATCAGTTACAGATGAACAAAGAAACAAGCTAAAAGTATGAATTCTAGGAATTATGTAATCAAAAGAGTTGTTAATCCTATACTTTGTTTCATTGGTATAGGCTATTACACACATCCTTTGATAAAGAGTTCAAATTCGCATAACAGAACATAAACTACTTACTGATCAATAGGTTGCAGGGGACTTGTAAGCACACTTTAAAGACCGCTACAAAATGCAACGCCTGAAGCCAAGAAACGTACTCAGTCCAGCTCTGTGACAACATATAATGGATGTTCTGTGCCCGTACTGTATTTAACGCCACTACATTTATAGAAATATGTATATAGCATATACTTCTACTTCTGTTTGTCTATGGGACATAATATATTAATGTTGATACACAAATTCATTATCACGTGTAATGATTATTGCAATATGTGTACCATACATGCAAACAAGTCAGAATTATATTTTATTCTGTATTTATTATTAACGTCAATAAAACTGCACATCGTGAATTGTGCAATAAAACACGATTCGAGTTAAATTTTGTATCGTTTTCTTTGTTTTTTATTAAAGCACATTTTTGGCCTTCTTTGACTATGTTTATTTCAACTTGATGCCATCAACACTTACATTTTTTTTAAGTGTGCATACACGTTAGGAAATGGGCACAAACGTCACTGGGCTCCACAAAAGGTTGGTAATATTTTGACCAGCTGAGCTGCTATCAGCTTATAAAGGACATTAATCTAACTGTGCAGGCAAAAACACTGTTGGAAAATGTGTGTAATTACAAGCCCCATTATAGTATTACCTAATAAACTTTTTTTTTAAATGTCGCACAATTTCTGCAAAAACCTTTTTACTTTACTCCTTTCAATATGAACAGCATCTCTAGGCATCTTCCTTTGACTTCTTGGAATATCCGAAGTAATGAATTTGCAGATTTCAGTTCAGTGCTGAACATAAGCTATGTTAATTTTACATGGATTTATATCATGTGAACTTAAAACCTATTTCAATGGCCCCCTCTAACAATCTCTCATTTACCTAGTGACAAAGCTGGAGCATGTAACATCTTACATGAACCATTCTGGTTTCCTCTGAAGTTGAAGCCATGGTACTAATCTACCATTTTATAATAACTTCCTCCACTTACATTAAAATAAATAAACAATGAGATATTCCACAAACTACATCACACCATTTCTGGGCTCCTTCCCATTTCCTTCTAGAGAACCAACAGATTCTATTTTGATGACTACCTCAAGTTCACACTCCACCCACATAAAATTTCTTTTTACCATAAAATAATAAGTTTATAAATTATTTTCAATGCTATTGAGAGACTATTCACACATTTCTACTTACCAGTTTGTATGTTCTCCTGAGATGTTGCACAACCTGCAGTTTATACACATTCCAAGTTTGAACAGCTCACCGACTTCTTAGGACTACCGTACAGTCACTATGACAAACAGCACAAATTCTTGCTAGGATAACCAGAATGGGTTACCAAAACAACTATCTAACCATGCAATATGTAACTGATGTCTTCTTGGATTATTGTTAAATTCCTCTGCTACATATTTCTCCAGCCACCATACCCACAAGAGAATAATCACATTAAGTTCTTCTAATTCTAGATATTATTCACAAATATCCTAAAACAAACACAAAAACCTGGTATTGGTTCCATCTTTTTGGTCAGACTACACTGAATGAATACCAAATGCTACCATAATGACTATATTATCTGGCCATTTACAAAACTTCTAATGAAAGCAAACAAATGGGAACAAAATGTCTTCCATTCAAATTTTAATATTTATTTATATGAATGATCATGGGTATATGGTAAATAAAAATAAACATGTACTACAAAAGATAAAAAGTGTGCTATAAACAGAATACTGTTCTAATGGAATATATTAGGCATCTAAATGCCATGTGTAATAAATACCTTGCCAATAAATGTTTTGAACATTTAAATAAATTTCTACATATTCTCTGCAGCTCTAATACTGTTCAAATTTTGAGTAGCAATGTGATTTTTCTATTGTCAATTAATAATGACCTCTGGAGCACTTACTTTCAACTTTTCACATTGAACAAGAACAAAGTTCCTGTTATCTTGAAGTTGCTTGCTAGTATCACCAGGCTGAACTTACCGTATCTGATTTGTCATAACAAAGTATCAGCAAGATGACCCAAATGCCTCCTATTGGGCAAGTTTGTGTTCCAGCAAAGCCAAAACACTAGCTGCACAGAATATACAGCTTGCAGTTTGTTTTTATATCTGACTATTCTTTATGGCCATCAACTTCTTTGTGTGAACAATGTGTGTTCAAAATTATAACAAAATGTTCATATTAAAAACTAATGAAATTATAACGCAGAATGGTTCAAAAGGGTTCCCTTTCAAACATGGCACTTTTATAATAATGGTATTCATTATTGAAACCAGGAGTAACATGGTATGTATGTTTGTTTCAGACTGTGGACACTTCTGTGGTGGTAATAATCACGTGTGTGTGTGTTCAGATGTGATATAGATTCTTTCTTAAATCTTAGTTTAAAAAATTTACTGTGACATGTCTGTTACTGACACACTGTAGACTCTGCAAAACAATAGCTGCTTAACACAGCAAACCATGTCAGTAAGAAACAAGATGGTGTCTGAATACTGGTGTGTGAATTAGTTTAACATTCACCGCTGGCATTTAATTTTAAGCCTTGCTTTAAATATCATGACTTCAAGTCCACTTATGTAGGAAGGGAGAGCCAAATCAGGTGTTTTCAGAGCTGGCCTATTCAGAAAATCATTTCAACGCAGACTGCGTTGGACTAAATGCATGATGGTATATCAATAAAAGTGTTGCCAGGGAAAAAATCGATGACAGGCATAATTCAGTGGTGCTGAATCAACATCAGAAGGGTATGAGTTTTTAAATTCTAAAAGTAAATGTAAGCTGGTATGCTAACCACTAGCACAGGTGGTCCAATGATTGTGTTCTAACCTCAGCATTCAAAAGGGCCTGCGTACAACCTCAACACGTCAGACAATGGAAAATGTCCCAACACAATACAAGTATAATGAAACAACCACCGTCACGAAACTCTGAAACATTGCCTCCAACAAATCCTTTGAAACTGCAGCAAATACTTTGAAATTAAAGATAACAAAACAAAATTTAAAAATAATAAAGAGAAACATAAAATGATTTATCCAATAAAATATGACTTCTAGTTTCCAGACGAAATACATAGACTTCTTGTTATAATTCAATTCAGAATCATCTGATTTCCTGTACTGCTTCTAAAGAACTATGGACAAAAAACATAGAACTAAGTGTGACCGTTGTTTTGTATGGACATGAAACTTGGCCTCTTATCCAAAGTGAAAAACATTGCATATGAAAACAAAGAGCGCCGAGACAAATAGGTTTACCCAAGATAAAGTAATAAGAGGCTAGAAAAGTTGCTTACCAAGGAGCTTCATAATTTGTACTCTACAAAACATTGAGGACAAAAAATGAAGAAGATGGATAATGCACAACACTCATGAAAGCAATATGTGCATATTTTTGACAGAAAATCTGAAGGAAAGAGACCAAATGCAATACCTAGGCATGGACGGAAGGATACTATTAACACTCGTGTGAGGATGTGGACTGGATTCATGTGGCACAAGAAAAGGCCTAGCAGAGGCCTCTTGTGATTTCAATTATGAGCATTCAGGTTCTACGAAAGGTGGAGATTTCTTCGACTGAGTAACTATAAGCTTCCCACAAATTGTGCTCCATGCAGGATATTAGACCCTTTGCAATCAAACCTTAGAAATGCTTGTGTAAATAATGCAACACACAGGAAGGTCTAACAGAGTTAGCAAATGAGAAGCCACTTTTTTAAGCATAAGCTCCCGCATGTATTTATCTTAAACGTGCTTTTTGGAGCTCTCACTCAAGTAAGTGCTCAGGTTTGTCAGATACATTTCTACTACAATAATTGCCCCTCTAGATTTTGCTCCATTTCACTGATATAAAAAAAGTTTCAGATACATACGTAAACAATACAGAAGTAAACGTATTAGCTTTTTATCTAAAAGTATAATCAGCCTTTTCTTTTTAAACTTAAGTCAAACTTCACATCCATAATAAGCACAGAAGAAAGCTAGTAGAATTTAAGCCATCTCTGAAACCCAGCTACATACCTCCATTTTAAAGACTTGTTTGTATTAATTTTCCTGGATTTTCTCCCTACCATACATATACATAATATAAACCTTATTTAACACAACACAGGAAAACCTCCAACAAATGCTAGATACATGTAATTTCTGTCCAACATACCTTCTGTGAATCCTTATTTTTCAACCACTTAAGGTACCTGTAGTCCACATGAGTAAAGAACTAACAAAAAGCCAACAGCGTTAAGATCACCTACTGAATATTTTTAATAAATTATGCAATAATTCCAGTATTACATAACATAATGATGAGGTTATGCGTTTCAACCAAAACTGCAACTTCTTCCACAAGTTTCATCCGCAGTTTTCCACTTCAATTTTCTAAGACTCCAGAACAGCCATCTTGCGAACGTAACACACCAGATACTGTCATGAAGAGATCCTGGCAAATTAATGGGACTTAAAAAAAAAATCAAAAATATTAAGTGCACAGGCTGATATAAACCAAATACACTCATGAAAACACAAACCAGGTATTGTACTCAAACCACACTGTCTTTGACATCTTTTTACTGGAATACAAGTTGCTACTGGTGTCAGCAATAAGAAAAGCCTAATAAAAGAGGCAACTCACCATAGGTGATACTCTCACTTTTTCCTTTTGACTCCTGACGGAAATCTTCCTTTCAATTGAAACACAGGTAATGTAAAAAAATAAGGAGAAAACCAGGATAAAGCATCGGGTAGAAACATGTACGACCAGACAGGTTCAACTTTCTGGCATATTCCCACAGTTTCCCCTTGTTTACTTGCTTTCGCCATTCTGGCTTTAGTTCCAATTTCTATTGTCTACACTGTACACATAATTAACGGCAGATCGAAGAGTCAATCTGCTTGAGGACGTCGTTCCCACACCCACTCTATGACTTGACTTTGCACGAGTACAACTTTCATTCGCTTTGGTTACGTTTGAAAGGTACATATAATTCATACACACCTGAAACACTGCACATTTTCTGTCACACCAAACTTAAAAACCACGTCAGTACTTATAACCTAAAGCAGACATTTGGAACTGTTTAATTTTATCAACGCCATATTCAGTTCATTATTCTAGTTAGAAATCTCACATGTGGTTTGTAAGCAAGATAAGTTTCATATGCATAGTAAAGTATAATATGTCATAAATAAAACATGAAGTACCGTATGTCTCGCTGTATCTCAAGATCATGAAACACATGCTTAGCATTTAATTACATTATTCCCTACCCATCAAAATGACAGCTAAGAGACTGTGAACCAACAACAAGGATGACACAACATCTAGGAAAATAGAAAGAACCGCACCGTCACTTCAGTCATCGTCATTCCGACGCTTTTTCTTGGCTGGCGTGTCATCATTTGATTGCGGAGATGAACATTCGGAATCCACCTGACTTATCTCCAGACTCTTCCTTCTACGGAGTCGTTCCTTCACCGCAGTTAGCGTATCCTCCCCGTTCTCTCTACCAGCGATGCTCTCAGAATTGTTACTGTTTTTAACTGGGGAGTCTTCCAGCTCGATAACCTGTACATTACGGCTCTGCTGTAATCTCTGCTTAAAACGCCTTGGACCAGGTGCACATGAAACCTTCGTGATGGTAATTTCATTACGACCCTGACCAGCTATCACTACTTCATCATCTGAGAGCTCAATAACATCTACACCTTCTTTCTGTTCCTCCAGAAAATCAAGCATGTCTTGTGTAACATGCCTTTGCTTACAGGTTGGACACCCATCCAGCCGACATACCTTCACGCCACAACGACGTAGGTGACGCCTTCTTATGTGGCTCACGTACTGTGAAAACCCTGTTGGGCCATCAAATGTTGCTTCACAATTCTCACAGGCATGAACCTTACTCGGAGGGTTTTGTTCCTGCATCAGTGCAGATATGGCTCCGGTGCGACTAGCCGGACCGGGGCGAGGTCGAGCCGGTTGGGGAATTATTGTTATTTCATCATTTATCTTGAGAGGCTTCAGAATTGCATCATTTTGTTGTGGTGGTCGAGGGACTTGCGGTGCCTTCTTATCCATCACCCGTCTTGCAACAACACTATGAGCCGAATAAACATGATTTTCAAATTGTTTGTACATTCCAAACGTTGCAGTACACACCGTGCACTTGTAGGAGAGGTGCGCAGGCTTCAATGTCATGTTATGGTCTCGAGCCACGTGATTTAACAATTTCCACTGATACACCTGCAATAAATCATCATACTTATCAAACTGCATTAAGATAACAATTTTACAAACCAGCGTTATGCAAAAAAATATCATTTCCTATGACATAAAAATTTTCACAATGTGATTAATGTATCAATTCCTCGCCTTAAAATGCCAATAATGAAACTAATGAACAGGACGTTACTATAACACTTACTCTGCCACAAACTGGACAACGCCCACCATCTTTGCCCTTATTAGCGGCTTCCTGCATGCTGGAGGTAACAAGTCCGTGTGACCCCAGCAGGTGGCGTTCCAAGCCTTGGTCCGTAAAGAAACGGAACTGACACTTCTGACAGTTCAGCGGTGGTCTATTATATATCATTTTGGGATGGATTTTCACTTTGTGTATCCACTGCATGTGATTACGTAGTTGCTCCAAGTCCTGTAAAAGACAGCATATTGCATAATATTAATCACCTCATACCGAATTTTGACCAACAGTTATGGTGCAGTGCTGCAGAATGGATGGAAACAGACTGTGTAATACCAAACCAGTTCAGGGCATGGTAATTTATCTGTCTTTATACACTACCAGTTTTGAGACAGCAAGTAGCATATTTGCATACCATCATAAAATATTTATGAAACCACTTTAACTTTTCAGGAAAGCCTTTATTTCTGTTACATCATTCACACACAACTAAAAACTGAACTACCTTAACTCTGAGACAAAAATTATTACTGTTTAAAAAAATGTAAAAATCATTAAATATCACGAGACCCAAAAGAAACAAAATGCATTATACCTTAATGTATCCATCACAGATCTCACAGATGACAAAGGTAGCCTTGCCACCAGGATGTGTTCCATGTTTAGCGTGGGCTGGATTGCCTGGAGCGATCCCTGAGGGCTGTCGTGGCAAAGGAGTAATAGAGATACTCGGCTGCTGAAGCAGTTTAGCTGCAGGGTTCTTGTTATTAGCACTCTGTTCAACACACAAAATTCAACCTTAGGCATAACTGTTAAAGATCCTCAAAATTAGAAAGCACACAAAGAAATGTAATTAGCTGTCAAATCCTGGTTGCCACAATTACATGCAAAGCTAGAGCCACCTCTCTCATTTAATCAACATTACTAAATATTTTCTACTAACATCCTAACCTGTCACTAAATTAATATTTTTCCCATATTTACAAGACCAACACCAATTCTGTCAAGTGAGCAATAAAAAGCATCTGACTAAATGAACTGTGCTGGAATCTCAGCTGCAAATATATACTGTAGCATCATGACTTAATGACCACTGGCTCTGGCTGCATGTGAAGCAGCAAGCCCAGACTCAGACAGAAAAGTGTAGCGTTATTGAGAGCTCTTCACTTGAACTCCAGATGCGGAAGCATTTATTCACAGCTTGCAGCATTCAGGGAACATTCCACTAGACCAGCGATAGAATCATCACGTTATCGAAGGTAAAACACGACTGGAACGCCAATGCGACTTTGAGGAAGACAGCACTAAGAGGAGTTTCGTGGAATCATCAAATTGTGACTGTAGTACACAGTATTTGGTGGGGGTTCCAAATGTTTGCTGTAATAAATAACATTTGTGTTACAGATGAATGACAGAATGTGGTACCATCTAATGCGGATGAAAAGGACCCAACAGAAGCAACCAAGTATGGCAAGAGCCGACTGTTTTCACTATAAACCGCTTACACACAACCGAGGTTGGTACAATATGTACCTCCTCCAGAGCCACCCCAGATACTTTCTTTAACAAAAGAAAGCAAATTATACGACTGAATATGCAGCACATGCAAATATTCAAATATTACAAGTCCATCAATTTTTGTTCAGACACTAACTGAAACACACCACTTAAGATTTGAAGACTAACAGAACAACACACTTTGCAGCTAGTACCAAAAACCAGCAGATACAGTGCACAGTACTATGACCAGTACTGTTACACGGTTATGAAACAAAGACCCTAAATCAAAGAGCAGCAGACAGCAGAGATAAGATAAAATTCCCAAGAGAAGTCTCGAGATACAGAATAACTCATCAAATGATCAAAAAAAAAATCCCTCTGACAGCGATTAAAGAACATATTTCTGGAACAGAATAAAATTACCAGAGAAAATTTTAAATGACAATTACTACAGCATGGAGCCTAAATTTCTCAGACAAGACAACAAATAGGATACACAACAGACATATGTCAAATATAAACATGTGATCAGAAAAGTGAATGGATGAAGATGGGTGTTAGCCGTAACATTCTCACACACCGCACACATTAATCCATGCACGGCAGCATGTGCTACCTCATATTACAATGTTTTATCCATCTAAAAACCCAAGCATATCAAATCAAACAAAACATAACGTGTAACCACAAGATACAAATCTCTCTCTCTCAACTATAAGCAGGTCACTCCATGCCAAATCAATGCAGAAATCACAATTTCCGACATTGTCCTTACAATAATTCAGCAACAAGTTTTTATATAATCATAGAAACTTGCACAAAAGGAAACTTAGACTGCCATAAATTATGTTCTGACAAAGCCACAAGACTCATGTTATTCTTATCTGAAGGCCAATGAAGTACTCTCTCCAGTCGTGCACGAGTAGTAGCTATCAGCTACAAGCCTGAGATTTTACAAACCTAAAATATGCAAAGATATTCTCAAGATGATATCTCATATACTTTCAGTCTGGCTATAAATACCTACTGAAAATCATTGTCAAACAGGCACTAGCCCTGAAGCATCCGAAGAATCCTACACTGAAGAAACCACACTCCCTCATCATCAACATATAACATCCTAACCTCATACGTTTGTTTTTAAAAACATTTTTTTACTTAAAGCCCATCCCAACATCGTCTCTACATTCTTCTCCAACCAGCTGTACAAATACAAAATGCACATTCAGGAACTCGCACGCCAGCAAAACCTCAAATTCTTGAACGTATCTTGTTATACGAGATTCTCACGGCCCTGAAAATGTTTATGGTGGTCATCCAGGTTGCAACATCATGCGGACTTGCAAGCAGATACCAACGTTTCAGAGATATCCTGAATATGGTGGCAGCATGTTTCTTTGAAACAATGGTACCAACCTGCAAATCCATACACCAACAGAACCCAGATGAACATCATCTCATTACAAACACCCACAAACAATATTTCCCGCATTCTAAATATCGATTACAGTCCACTCTAGTACTCGAGGCCTGAACCTACCAATGAGCAGAGTCTAGAGATAAATAAAACTGTTGTTCTAGTGAGAATTTCCTTTTGTGTTCAAATGCAATGAATCCTTGAAGTGCAATGTCTTAAATTTCAATCCATCTACTTAAATAAGTACATAAACTGATGAATCCTTGAACTGCAAGTAAGAAAACATGTAATTTGAAAAAAAAAGAGCATGAAATCAAAAGGAGCTAACAACTGCCTCATGTGCAAGATGATTTAAATATTCTAACAAAAGGTAAAATACCAATACCTC